CATTTGCATGCATAGAAGTATGCATACATTCTGGAATCAGTGGACAAAGAAAGTGTAATATGATTTTTAATTGTATTTAATATTTTTATACAAATTGTGTTCGTAATTAGCTATCTGAGAGCTGTCATTCTGGTAGCCTGGTTTGATCATTAATCAATCCTGACAACATGGTAGACTCTTGGTTTGGACTAGATGACGTCCATATTTTGATGAGTAAACTTTTTAGTAAATATGGGCAAGGGCAGGCATTCATAAGGGTGGTCTTTTCCACAAATGAGTGATTGTCCTGCTCACAAAAGCACAGACCTCTCATATTGGTGATTGGACTTGCTCATGTGATTATTTGCCATTACATATTACATCACCTGTCACCAATAAGTTAAGCCAGAATATTGGATTGGAGGCACTGTTGGTCACAGAATATTTCAATTCTTTATATTTCAATACATATATTGTTTTCTCTCTCAGAGTTAGAGGACCAGCAACTTCCTTTCAATTGTTTTGCAAATCTAAGGTCTCTCAACTGTTCCTGCATACTTCAAAGATGAAAGCCTCCTTAGAATGCTTAAATATTTTCTGAATTCTCTTCAATTCATGAATTATTTTTAAACTTGAAATATTAAAAACTGCACTTTTTATGCTATAATTATATATATATATATATATATATATATATATATATATATTATATAATATATATATATATATATATATATATATATATATAATATATACTCTTTCTTTCCAGGGTGAGGATGGAGGATCGGCTGCAAGCTTTGCAACAGGCGGAGGCTTTGAGTTTGGTGTTGATCCTAATGAGGATCCAGAACTGGCACTGGTAAGCTTCTTGATTATCCTAAGACACTCGATTGGGTATGATTAAAGGGAGGAATTAAATATTCTTGCAAAGTGGGACAGTAGTGATATGAATTGGTTTTTGATTATTTTTATAATTGCACCCTTTTTCTAGGCTTTACGTGTGTCTATGGAGGAACAGCGGCAGAGACAGCAGGAAGAGGAACGTCGTGCTGCTCAGGAATCAGCAGCAAAGGCTCCATCTGCTGAAGCTACACCTCAGCCACCTGCCACAACACCAACACCCCAACCTGCTGCAACAGAAGGTATTTTAAAGACTTACACAAATGTTTTTAGTTTGACAAGAAAGTAGCATATGCATACATTTGGCATAATTTTCTCAGTGAATAAACTTCATGATGCATGTCTCACTATTTTGCTTTATGCTTTTATCCTCTTTTTCCATAAGGCGGTCAATCTGAAGAGGAGATGTTACAACAAGCTCTAGCAATGTCACTGGAAGTCGGAGGTGCTGGTGGCTCAACACAGGCTAAAGGATCCACTGCTGCCAAACCAGTTGCAGCTCCAAAAGCTGCCCCTGCTGCTGCTGTTCCAGACTTCTCTGCAATGACAGAAGAGGAGCAGATTGCATATGCAATGCAGATTTCTATGCAGGACTGTGGTAAGGATTGTATATTGTTTCAATTACCACTTTTATTGCAGGTTTTGGGAATGAGATTACATATCTGTATTTACAGATACGTGTTAAAATTATTTCAGTTAACTTGCCCACACTTTATCCAACTCTATACAAAAAATGGTGATAAAAAGATTGAAAAATTATAATTATAAAAAAGGGTGTGAAGTACTTTTCAAACATGTGCATTGAGATTTAGGATGAATTAATATGTATAACAAATGAGTGATAATTGTTTACTGTGCTTGGTAAGTCACTCGTTATGAAATAAATTTACCAGAATATAAGACCACCTAAATTAAGTAGTTCTTTAAGCATGTCTTCTCTCACAGTTATTGGATCAGTGACTTCCTTTCAATTCTTTTTCAATCCTTGGGCATGTATAGGTTATGCATTATTTGCATTAAGTTTAAGCTGTCAAAGGGATAGTTTTGTATATAATCTTTCATTTCATCGTGGGCTGCTTCCTTCACTCATCCTATTTGAGAAGATACTATTTGAAGTTAATTAATGAGAACATTTACTTTACAGCAGAGCCTAAGGAGGAACCCATGGATGTAGATACACCAAGTGAAGACAGAGGTGCAAAGGGAGTAAAGGAAAGCTCAGAGGTGCGTATTTTGCTGTTTGTTACCTCTGCCAAGGAGGTTATGTTTTTAGTAGCATTGGTGAGTTTTGTTGGTATGTTGGTTGGCAGGATAACTCAAAAAGTTATGAACAGATTTTAATTAATTTTTTACACAGAGGTGTGTCTTAGCCTTACTTAGATTCCACCAAATTTTGGTGGTGATTACCCCTATACCTTGGTAATAGGGTTAACTATTATAGTGATCATTACATTACATCATTACTTTCACTAAGGAGGTTATGTTTACAGACATCACCTCTTGAGAAAGAGTTGATTTTAATGTAGTTCTTCAAATGTGAACATTTCTATTGCATCAGTGACCCTATTGCCTTGGCGGAGGTGTGTGCTTCTAGTTTTTTGGCCCCCCCCCCCTTATTTCTTCCATCTTTCCTTCCTTCTTATCAAGTTGTTCAGTAGATCTGATATCATTCTTGACAATTATTTATTCATATCTCTTTTTTCGTATTTAACAGGTGAAGAAAGAAGAGGAGGAACAGGATTTCTCCCAGGTCATGGCAGATCCGCCTTTCTAGAGAGTGTCCTTCAAACTTGCCTGGTGTTGACCCCAGAGCCAGGTTGTCAAAGAGGCTGTAGGGTCACTCACTCAACAGGACAAGGATAAAGAAAGGATAAGGATAAGAAGAAAGATGAGAAGAAATAAGATATTTTTATATGTGTGAGGAGAAAACTATCTTAATAGCATTATAGTTCTCGGCTCAAATTAAGAAAGGTTTCCATTTTTTATGAATAGTTTCTCTTTTGTATAAACAGGGGGACATTTGTTTATACAAGTGAAAAATTCACTTGCATGAATTTATATGTAAAGTCTTTGTTTTATTGTTTTATTTTATTTTTTTTTATTTATTTATTTTATTTTATTTTATTTTTTTATTTTTTTATTATTATTTTTATTTATTTTTTATTTTTTATTTATTTTTTTTTTTGAATAAGGTAGTAGTTGTTTAGATATCAATTAATCAGAAGCTGAGAAAGTTTCCCCAACAGTTAGCATAAGTTCAGACATATATTTTGTGTCAAAAGTGATCTTGAAAAATTTCTCTTGGCAACATGGCTGGGTGTCTGTTCTACACAGCAGCCTTACAACACTGCTCTGAACAGGCTATCATAAATATACTGCATTGGCAGTTTGGTCCATGCTTGAATGGCCAATTTAAAGTCCATGAATAAAGCTTGAATAAAAATTAAAATAATTTTTTTGCTTTTCTTTTCATGTGTTCATATAGTAGGTAGTATGGCAACTTTTTTTTTTTTTTTTTTTTTACAGGATATTTGGTTTGAATGAGCAAGACAATTTGACATCAGTACAGTAGCCTTTTTGTGATAGTTCAGTTAGATGAATGTGTCAGATGATCACTGCACCTGATTACATTATCCAATATTTATTTAAAGAATAAAGATATGGAAGTTAAGGTCTGTCTCACTGATATTTTCACCAAAGATGACTCCTGTTACATTTGTTTGTAATTGTGTAAGATGAAATTAGCAATATGCTTTTCCTTTACTGTATGAAATCATATTCAGATGTATAATTTACAAGCAAAGGTTAAGTTTGCCTGTATTATGTATTTTATGTGTAGAAATGTGTGGCCGAGATAACCAGAATCATTCAATAGGAATATTTGTACAATATCACAATGCTCATTGAACTTTAATATTTTAGTGTGGATATACATAACTAATGATTAAAAATATATGAAAGAAAACTGCATTATTTGCTTACATGCACAGGGAAACTTGAATGTGTAAAGTACCAAAATTTTATTAAATACAAGCAGCTTCAGATGAACAACTATTAATAAACATTCCCATTATAACTAAATTATACAATGAAACATTATGCATTGAGAAGATATACAGCAGCTATTTACAAAGCAAGTGAGTTGTATAGTCTTATTTAGTCGTCTAGCACATTTATTTTCTTGTCATTGTTACTTACTTAGTCTTCCAGTATGTATCTGTTTACATTGACTAACCCATCCAAAATTGTATTTCCCCACACAATCAGCCACTCATTGAAAAAATCAGAAACACAAGAAACCTAAACTTGTCCTCATCTTTGTGTCTTTGGTGTAGCATACATTTTCTTAGGAAACTGTAACATATGCTCATACAGTATATTCCTAGGAATATAATAAATGCCTCATTGTGTTACTAATTTTAACATAGGAGCTAGTTATGTTTTTGATACCAATGAAGAATTTCAACTTTCTACCTTATTTTGAAAATATGTATTGACTAACATACACACACTCACATTTATTTATTTATTGAAAAAATTCTGCTACATGAATATCTGTCATTAGCAGCATAAACAAAATATAGCAATAGGGCAAAGCCCCAGGTAAGGAAAGGTCATACAGCATTGGCAAAGTATTGCATCAAAAAAATAAAAAAATGAATTAACAACTGCAACAAAATATGTTAGGTAAAGGCTGCAGAGAGCACTGTAGATTAGCATGGTAGTAAAAATGGTAAAGAGGGAATAGCAAAGTACAAAGGCAGTTTAGGATTAACACAAAGCCAGCCTTTCATCCTTTCACCACAGCTCTCACTTTAGGATGTGGACAGAAGGGGATGAAAGGTGGAGAAGAAAAGGCCATACAAAATTAGTTGAGGGCCTGTCCTGTCAAAAGTAATGAACATGGGGCTGGGGGTACACACAGACAGACAGAGGCAGGCAGGCAGGCACAAAACAAACACACACACACACACACACACACACACACACACACACACACACACACACACACACACACACACACACACACACAACACACACACACACACACACACACACACACAAACACATACACACACACCACACACACACACACACACACACACACACACACACACACACACACACACACACACATACACACACACACACACACACACACACACACACACACACACACAGACAGACATACATACATACATACAGACATACAGACAACAGACATACATACATACATACATACATACATACATACATACATACATACATACATACATACATACATACATACATACATACATACATACATACATACATACATACATACATACATACATATGTATGTTTTTTCCCCATTCCTCTTTTTCATATTTTTCTATCCATATGTTCTTCCCAATTCTGCATCAAAATAATTTTTCTGTCAATCAAAATTAAAGCAGTTTCACTTTTTCTTCAAGAAAGAAATTAATTTACTTTTTTCTAAACATCATTATCCATCTTCAATTGTCCAGAAGAATGTTGATAAAAGGTACATTCATATAAATAGAGGGCCTTTATCATTACAATAAAATCAAATCCAAAATGTGATCTCATAAATTACTTTTTCAAATGCTTTCATTCCTTGATTGCTCTTATACTTAGAAATAAAAATCTTGTAAAATTTTCTCAAGTGAAAATTTTACTTGGCATTTAAAACAGTAATTGCACTTCAACTATTACTTTGCAGATATTAAATAACTTTATTACAAAATCTTAGAATCAGGCTATAAATAATAATACTTCACTTCTCTTATTTATTATTAATTTTCCAGTAAATTATCAATATACATTAACTGACATACTATCAGAACTGAAAGTTCAGGTTTCATACTGTAACAAAAGATATGCTAGTCCCTTTAAATACAGTTACTTAAGCAATACACTAAAACAATTCAACAGTGTTTCATATACATATCTAATTTATGTAGTGGTATTTTGGAAACCTATACAATTAAACCATGACACCAATATAATACATGCTTATTCTTGAGGGTCTTCCTTCAGTTTTTGGGACAAAATTTTACCACCTGGAGTTGTCAGTGTCACAATCTTTTCAAGATGTTGAGATAAAATGTCCTTTACAGACTTAATTACTTTACTTATTTCTGTTTCAATCATGCACACTAACATGAAACATCCTCTATTGGAATCCAGCCAGGTACTTAGTTGTTCTCCAACAGTCGTTAACAATACCTCACTAAATGTTGGTTTCTCCTTTGCATATCTGTGCTTATCAAATTTTATGATCTTTGTAAGCATTTTTGTTGTGTGAGCCACTTCCAGTACATGGTCTTTCATTCCTTCCTCATAAGGTGTATTGCACAACTCAGCCAACTGACCAAATATAGTGTTCACATAACTCCTGGAAGTGTTTCTAATGCTGCAGCAATGAAGAGTGTCCAGTTAGCATTCAAGGCCCAGCTCTGGATGTTACCACTCAAGAGGGATAAAATGCCATCAGCTGCAGCTTCTTGAATTTCCCTCTGTCTGATATCAGTGTCTTTGCGACTGTAAGCATTGCCATCTCCAGGTTTCAACTGATCTACAACAGCAGGCTGGAAGAACAAAGAACTGCGTGGTGCCACTATATACCGCAAGACACGTAGTCCAGAATCTGCACCCACTAAATTTTGTATACCTTCCAAAAGCTCCTTGATAACAACACTTTTTAAGAAAACTACATCATCCACACATCAAAAGCAGCAAGTAGAACCATATACCCTTGGGATCTGTGGCTAATTTGACCATATGAGTCCGGAAACTTTTCAATATAACCTTTCTGTCTTTTCCTGTTCCATGCCACAGGCATATCATGGCCACACGGGCACCATCCCTTGTGTGTACGATGGGAAGTAGTGACTCACGTAACGATTCAATCATTGCAGTCCTATCTGCTTCAGAACAAGAGGTAAGAAAATCACGAAGTAATGTGTGCACCATTGTATTGGTAAAAACACCTTTATCAACAATGGGCTGCAATGCACTACGCAGATCTTTAAGGATTGTCTCTTTCTTTAAAGGATTTGAGTTCAAGGCATCTTCTAAACACCGAATTTCTTCATTGGGAAATAAGCGAAAGCTTGGGCCATAGAACTCTTGGGTCATTAAAGAACGCTGTTTGGCATTTGCATAGTCATTGTATGCTAATTCCACAACATCACAAGCAATTTTGTTTTTCATCAATGTGGCAGTATGCCCCTTTAATGATTTTATAACAAAATCTTTCTGATCCCTAGAGCCATAACGAAGTATCTTCAGAACAAAAAAGCGTGAGTACTTATTCTTGCTCATTTCAAGGATGTCATTCTTCATTTCTTCAAACAATTCTGTACGATACTGCTCTCCTCCAACAGCCATTAATGTTTCAATGACCCTCACTGTGTCATGAGAAAAGATGAGTGATTTCACCTTCCCTTTCACTAGATTCCAAAGCTCCTTACACAATTCAGTTTCCTCTCCTTCTTGCAGTTACTTTGACGAAGCTCCTCCCAAATCTTCTTACTCCTCTCACTCCCAACATATATGCCTCACTCCCACCCTTCCACTCCTTCCTCTTCTCCTTCTTCAGTTTTGCTTCAGCCTTTATAGCCTTCCAATCTTTTTTATGGTGTTTTCCTCCGTCATCATCTGCTTTCCTCTTCATTCCCGCAAATTCACCTTGAATGAAAAGAAAAAATGTATATTCATTAAATAGTAACTTTAGCAATTGCAAATACATTCACATCTTTAATTCTATCTTATTTAAAGCAACTTAAGAAAATGTG